ACTCTATGTATTTGCTGGTCTGCTATATACATACGTTTGATACAAAGATATACCTAACTTCGATTTGTATTACAACTTGAACCCACAGCCCGTCTGCGAAACAGGATGCTACTAAGTGTGCCTATGTTCGGACTTTCATCAGTATTTGCATGTATGTTGATCTGCCTTAATTTTCCTAATAAAATTATTTTTGGAAAAATATAAAATATTAAATATAAGTTGAAAATGAAAAAAGTACTCATTTCAATGACGGAGTTGGGTGATGGTGATTTGTCCTAGACTCTATCCTAATGGTGCCTACAGTCACAATATAATAGTGGCCCATGCATTCATGATCTGATGAACAATCATTGTAAAAATGTGCATCCACATTGAGAAGACATGCAAGGGGAGGAAAGGAATGTGTCTATCAGGTCACTATGGGGTTTATTTACTAAAGCTGGAGAGTCCAAAATCAGACTCCCTTCTGCATAGAAACCAATCAGCTTCCAGGTTTCATTGCCAAAGCTTCATTGAACAAGCTGAGGTTAGAAGCTGATTGGTTTCTATGCAGAAGGGAGTCTGATTTTGGACTCTCCAGCTTTAGTAAATAAACCCCTATTTGTCTTAGGGGAAAACATCAATTGGATGGGAAAACCTGTTCCGACCAGTTACCTGGCTCAACTGGGGGGCATCATAGAGCACTAATGTATATATAATGTACATATGTGTGTGTATATAATTTTTTTTTTTTCCTTGATCTGACCATGAACCAAACTTTTATGCAGGGTTTAGAAAACAACAGTTTATTCATTTAGATCATTATCTTATGTTTCGATAGCCTGATTTTAGAATAGGCAGTATGTTTAAAATATTACCAAAGCAAAAAGAAAAAGAGAAGCTGTAAAGGGTTAAAGCGATAGTTAAGGCTTTTTAAAAGGTTCTTCCTGCAAGATAATGATAATGTGTTAGGTCTTTCATACTAACTAACTACAAAACAGATCTCGCCAGAGGCACTTTGTCACCGCTAACAGAAATTCCACTTTCTTAGTCTTCATTTTGGGTTCGTGGGCTGTGGCTGTTTGAATGGCTGAGCTGCAATGACATCACTCCCAAGCCCGTGCGTGGCACAGCTCTCTGTATAGATGGCATGCCTAAATGCAGCACGTTTAGGAGATATTCACTATACCTCAGTAAGCTTTATTGTAACCTGCACGTACAACTGACCAAGCAGTGTTTAATAATGCTTTAAGGTCACCATTATTGGAATTCTTTAAAAAGTTTACATGTGTATATACTTATGGCTAATATTTTTTTAAAAGTTTAAAAAATATACTGACAAATAAACATGTAATGCAGGGTATATCCATGAAATTTCATTTAAAAAGGATGATGGGCTTTCAAAAAGGAAAGCCCAGCACTGCTTTCCTTCTCACAGCCTGTATGAAGTAATTAACTAAGACAACCTCTGCAGGGAGAAAGGGAAGAGTGTTTTCCCTCTTTCTTTAACTGATGTGCAATCTGACCTCTACTGGCATGATATACGCATTATATCACAGTTACCTGATTGAAAATAAATATTTTTTTGTAGTGAAGTAGAAAAAAAAATTATATATATATATAGTAATAAATAAAATATATATATATGTGTGTATATATATATATATATATGACACTATATTCTGTAAAAACACATAACCATATTCCTAAAAAAAAAACATTTTCCTTGTTTCAGCATCAACTTGACAGGGCTGCACTGAGCTCCCGCATTCTGCAATGTAAAGCAAGCAGCAAATGGCAGTCATTTACTAAATGCTACTCTATAATAGTGTTTAATTTCCTGCCAGGTACCGGAGGGAGTTGCCGTCTCTTCACACCGCAGGCCCGTTGTGTTGCTCTAAGATCTCATGGTCTCAGCTGCCCCGCTCTCACAGCGTTATTGATCTGTGGGTAGTGTTACCTGCACCTCAGCTTCTGGAACCAGCCGACATGAAACTGGCATTGAGAGCTGGCTTCCTGTCTAGGTAATCAGGCTGGAGCGTGTGCACAGTTCAGCACTGTATTCATCACAGACAGAAGCTGTCTGTGCCACCACATAAGAGAATGGAAGAATCTGTCTTCCCGTTCTTGAGCCATGGATTTCCTGCAGACAGGCCAAACTGTTCCAGACCTATCCTTCCCTCTATTCAGAAAGTCTGGCTTTAGAGCTGGTGACTGTCTGGCCAATAGAAAGGCACACCTTGACATCTTTTTTTTTAGTCGCCAGCGGTAGGGGACCTTGAAATAGAGCCAGCAAGCCATAAAACATTTTCTCAATGTCTTCAACTCTGTAAGCAATTTTTCTGGAATAAAGTAAAAATGGTATCCAGTAAAAATGTTATAAATTGTGTCACAGTGACTCTGTCACCTGTAAAAATAAATATAAAAATGTCCATTGGAAAAGAAGGACCAGTGTGTAAGATGGTAGCTGTTGAAAAGAACAAAGATAGGACTCACAACTGGGGAGGTAAGTACTAAAAGTCTTCTTTGCCAAGGTCCACTTTTTTCTACATTTTTTTTTTTTTTTTTCAGAAGACTGCATCATTTTAAATCTAAACTCAATGCAAAATGATAATGTCAAAATCTTAGTCTTGTGCCCCATATATAAGCCCTTCCCACAAACATTCTTCATGTGTACATTTCAACACTCTTCATCTAGAATGTTGGTAATGATTGGATGACTCACTGGAACAGTGGTGGACAATTCCATTTCCCAAGGGGCCAAATGATAAACTGGAATGGTTGTGGAGGGCTGAATTTAAAGTGTCATTAAATGCACATCATTAAAAAACTATCAATAAATGCTGTATTACATGCTGTTTATACTCAGTCACTATGGGATTCGTTTTATGTATTCTGCAAAAAACCTGGTTGATCCTGCTTCTCTCTATAGCCCCTTCTGCCCATGCCCCACTGCAGTGCAGGGATTTTGCAGTGCAGTGTTGGCAGCTAATGCACATGCATAGTTTTCAGTGTTTTTCTATCCTGTGAGAGCAGAGAGAAGCGATCCTGCAGTGTGTGGGTGTACAGCCCAGTTTCCCTGCTCACTGCCCCAGTATTTACACAATAAAACATGCAGCAAATCCTGATTACCTATCTATAACTACCACTTCCTTAAGTGTAATAAGTGACAAATTAGAAAAACCAATATGCAGCAAAACTTAATTCCCCATAGCACAAATAAAACCTTCACCCTTGAAGATATAAGATAACAATAATGAAAATGTGCCAAAATTACATAAATAAATAAATACTTGTACAATTCACCTCATAAAGTAACTATATATCAATATTCAAAAAGAAATTCAAAAAAATATAATTCTAAAAAATATTCAAAAAAAAAATGTATAATAATTCAAAAAAGTAAGAAAAAGTCCCAGAAAAAAAGTCCAAACAAAATTAATATAAGTTCAAACAAATTCCAAAAAATATAAGTATAAAAATGAAACTGGGAAATCCTTTTCAATCCTTCCTTTCTCACGATAAACCTCAAACAAAAGAAAATATCACACAGTGCATTATCTTTATAATATAAAAAAATATTCGTGACGACACTCTGGTGATTATCCAATATAAAATATATTTTATTTTTTTAAAATAATTAGTGTAAAAAGTGAACCAAGTGCATCAATTTAATTAATTAAAAAATATATAAATTAATTAGTGCAACACACTGTGTACTGTGAATCACTCTTCCAGTGCTCCAAAAACAAATCCACACTGTGCCACTTCTATTATAGTAAGGAATATATACCCTTACCAACACTCCTCCAAAAACCTGCTTTCAATAATTATCCTATGGATGAGATCCTCCTAAAGTGCTCCCCCAGATTCCACTGTATTCAGGGCACTATTCCAGCAGGATTTTCCATATCTCCATATCAATGGCACCATATAGATAGAAAGCATATGAGGGACAAATAGTGTAATACCGCCAAAGTAAAGTACAGAAAAGCTTTATTAAAACTGCTCACATTTCAAAAGATTTAAAACCGCTTTAAATACCGTAGAAACCGCCAAGCTACCATCCAGGGAACATCCAGGGACCAACACACAGTCTTTATCCTCTTTTCCCTTTTGTAAAATGGCCGCCATTAATCCCTTATGATTAAGTCGATGACGAAACGCGTCAAGGGCTGTGACGTCAGGACGCATACCGGAACCGGAAGTCGACTGGCGGCCATTTTACAAAAGGGAAAAGAGGATAAAGACTGCGTGTTGGTCCCTGGATGTTCCCTGGATGGTAGCTTGGCGGTTTCTACGGTATTTAAAGCGGTTTTAAATCTTTTGAAATGTGAGCAGTTTTAATAAAGCTTTTCTGTACTTTACTTTGGCGGTATTACACTATTTGTCCCTCATATGCTTTCTATCTATATGGTGCCATTGATATGGAGATATGGAAAATCCTGCTGGAATAGTGCCCTGAATACAGTGGAATCTGGGGGAGCACTTTAGGAGGATCTCATCCATAGGATAATTATTGAAAGCAGGTTTTTGGAGGAGTGTTGGTAAGGGTATATATTCCTTACTATAATAGAAGTGGCACAGTGTGGATTTGTTTTTGGAGCACTGGAAGAGTGATTCACAGTACACAGTGTGTTGCACTAATTAATTTATATATTTTTTAATTAATTAAATTGATGCACTTGGTTCACTTTTTACACTAATTATTTTAAAAAAATAAAATATATTTTATATTGGATAATCACCAGAGTGTCGTCACGAATATTTTTTTTATATTATAAAGATAATGCACTATGTGATATTTTCTTTTGTTTGAGGTTTATCGTGAGAAAGGAAGGATTGAAAAGGATTTCCCAGTTTCATTTTTATACTTATATTTTTTGGAATTTGTTTGAACTTATATTAATTTTGTTTGGACTTTTTTTCTGAGACTTTTTCTTACTTTTTTGAATTATTATATATTTTTTTTGAATATTTTTTAGAATTATATTTTTTTGAAATCCTGATTACCGCCATACCAATGTCCTGATCACCGCCATACCCCAAACCAACACCCTGATCACTGCCTTATGCCATACCAGCACCCTGATTACCTCCATACACCATACCAGCACCCTGATCACTGCCATACCTGCATCCTGATCTCTGCTATACCCCATGCCAGCATTCTGATCACTGCCATACCACATACCAGCGGTCTGATCAGCGCCATGCCCCATACCCGCATCCTGATCACCCCCATACCAGCTTCCTGGCTACTACCATGCCAGCGTTCTAATCATCTCCATACCGCCTGCTAACGTTCTTATTACCGCCATACCCCATACCAGTGTCCTGATCACTGCCATATGCTATACCAATGTTCGGCATTTTAGGGGCTCAACTGATCAATTTCCAAATATAGTTCCCATTGTTTGTAGACTCTATAGCTTTCACACATACTAAATTATATACACTGTTTTGGGTTATTTTACCCCAATAAATTTATGAAGAAAAATTATTTATTTGCTAAATTTTATAACAAAAACTAAGCAATAAATATTTTTTTCAAAATTTGGTATTTTTTTCATTTATATATCAAAAAATAAAAAACAGTGGTGATCAAATGCCACCAAAAGAAAGCTCTATCTGTCTCAAAAAAAAGGACACAAATTTCATATGGTTACAGTGTTGCATGACTGAGTAATTGTCACTCAAAGTGTGATAGTGCTGAAAGCTGAAAATTGGTCTGGACTGGAAGGGGGTAAAAGTGTCCAGACTTGAAGTGGTTAACCTATAGGCAGTGAACAATGGAACTCCTGGAAAATATACTTTTGGAAATTTTTTCTTTGAAAAAAATTTAAAAATGTATGTATTTGTCTCGTTTGTGAAATGGAAAGCAACATGTCATGTCTATGTTTTGACTGTGATCTATGGCTGTACAAAATGCTTTTGTCTTCTCTTAAAACAATAAAGTATTGTTGAGAAAATAAAATGTATGTATGTTGTAATTCCCCAGGGGACCAAGTGCATAGAGCTGGTCATCATTCTGGTTGGTGGCCCCATTATTTCTTAAATGCACCCCTTTTTGCCCAATGTAGCTCCACCCTATTCTGGGGGGGGGGGTACAGCCATCAAAGAGTCCTTGTCCCCTCTCTAAGCTGAGTGATTTTTCACTATGCAAATGAACGATCAGTGCTGCTTGTTCATTCATAATAACAAAAATAACTCAGAGTTGCAGCTCTGTGTAAAGTATCTGCTGATGCCCTGTAGGAAGTAAAAGCAGCCACAGATACGTTACAGAGAGCTGACATTGTGAGTCGTCTTTTACTATAATGACTGTAATGAATAAACAAGCAGCACAGACTATTCATTCATAAAAGTGAAAGATCACTCAATGCTGCAGGGCTGTGTGATCTATTTGTGGACTGCTTGTAATCATACACAGCCCCTGCAGATGGCTCACACAGACATGCACCACCGAGTGATCTTTCTCTTTTATGAATGAATAAACAGTCAGTGATGTTGGGCTGGTGCAGGGTGTGACAATACCTTGCAGCACTGATTGTTCATTCATAAAAGTGAAACATCACTGCAGCCCACAGATAGACACACAGTACCACAGGCTGTGTGAGCTTTGTGAATGGCAGTGATGGCTAGAGATGTGCATGATGAAAAAACGAGTTTTGATTGTGATTTATTTGTTAAGTCAATCATTTTGTCATATTAATTTTGTTGATTCATTTTCAGAAGCATGTTCCATATATTCAAATTTTTAGTATATTCGTTGTTCCAAATTGATTTGTATTTTTGGAAGTTATTTCAGGTGATTCGTATCCATTCGTTATGTTTCCAATGTGACTTTGCATCGCAACTTACTTGCGACTTTGATGTTTTATGACTTTAGCTTTGGCCAAACATAACAATACAGAGTGACATATTTTATTGAACTTACAAAACCCTCTGAATTTGCAACTGAATGAATACGAATTAGCTTGTTGTTTTCATTGTAATTTATTTTGGATTATTCATTACTCTTGTGATTCGGAGATTTGGATACATCTGAATTTCTAAATAATGAAAATTTATGTTCAAATTCCGAGTCGTAACAAAACACATTGCACATGTCTAGTGCTGGTCTCAGGAGCACCCCATGCTGCCATAGACCAGAGCTGTCACTTATAAATCCACCTGCTTTCTAGCAGCATGGTTGGACAGTGGGGGGATAACAGTCTGACTACAATGCTTAGAAATCAAGGGATGAATTTGAACAGAACCGAGTGCTCTATGCACTTGGTCCCCTGGGAAACAAATAAAACTGACATTTTTGTAATCAGACTTCTTATTAAACCTTTATTTTAAATCTGAAAATTAGAAGAGAGGCTTCTGACACTGAGACTCATAAAATATCTAACATAATCATTGCAATTGGGACCAATTAAATTGAGGTAGGCTGCCAGTTTAATTTCAAGATTTTTTTTTTTTTGCCCCCCAGGAGGATGTTGCCATAATGAACAAGTGTGCACAGCATATTTAGAAATGCCCTGTGTTATAAACACAGCAGGCATCGTGACTGGGGACGGTCCCTTCGGACTAGTCTGTAGGGTACTAAAAGAGTTAAATGATGGTAGAAGGGCAGGATGGTGAAGAGGCATGATTTGGATTGTGGTGGCAGATTATTGGTAGGAAGAAGAAAAATGAGGGGACTCCTGCATCACGTTAAGACCTGCGACATACTGGTCACTTATTTGGCGAAGAAAGTAGTCCCTACCCTCCCTCCCCAATTTTTGTTCCTGGGTTTTGTTGTTATGGCTTTTGCTTATGCCATAAAAAAAAAACCATAAACTTAAATTTTTTTTTAAAAAAGTGCAGTTTTTTTATCAACAGAAAATTAATAAAAAAATAATAGCTAATAAGAGACAACTTATTATTCTTGGATTCAGTCATGTATATTTGTTGTCACACAGTCTTTTTGCCACAGCTGACGTTTATCCATTTTGCGGGCTGAGGTGGCAGGTGGCTGGTAGAGGAGGTGGAATTGGTAGAAGGAAGCCCCTGAGCCTAACCTGGACAGCTGGGGGCTGAATTGGCTCCTGCTAAGGAAGAAAAGTGGAGATACGCCACTCAGCACTGCTAAAAGGGATTTGGTGTTAGATATGTTTTATTGGTTGATTGTTCACTATTTAGAGAAATCAAGCTGTGGCCGATACTTAAGTAATAAAGTATCAACGCAGTTAATAAAGTATCTTTGTTGTCAGTGTGGTTATATAAGTCAATCTCAGGGAGAAGTGAATGGTGTACCAGTCATGCACATTATCACAGATTTACCTAGGAAAGCAATCCCCCCTAGCTCTGTGATATCAGAGCTCTCCTCCATTGCCAATGCTTTCATCGTCTCCCAGGTTTGGATTCTTCAATCTCTCAGTTGGCAAGGCCTGGATGACATTACTCCAGTGCATGCACACAGGCATTGATTCTGCAAACAGTCATGCTGAGATTGTACACTGAACTGCACATGCAAGACTCAGTGTACACGTTTAGAAAAGGAGGCAGAGGCAGCTAGAAGCTTCTATGGCAGAAAAGACGTAGACAGAAGCACTTTTTTGTTAAAAACAAAGACTTTATTTCTACTTTTAACGATGACTAAAATGACTATGAAGTCACAGCACTTACCATTCTCTGTGCTACCTACATCAACTGTCATTCTACACCTTCCTATAGAATGAGTGAGGTGCATGATGGGACTGGAACTTTGCATCAAAGCTGAAATTAACGTGCTGTAGATTTTCTCTGAAATTAAGCTGTCTGCTCCCATTGTGTTCAAATAGCTTGCACACCATGTATGTGTAAATGTCCCCCAGCATGAAATGTCCTATAATTACTGGGGCAGCACAATGTATTGAATAGCAGCAAAACATCCTTGAACAAGAAACATCGCCAACAATAAACATCGCCAAGGTACAGACAGTACCTATCCATCATTGTGCCTTAAAAAAAAACCCACAAAACAAAAATGAACAATAACAACAGTTAAAGTATATATAAATCCAATCTCTAAAAGCTCATATAAGCTTTAACCTTTTAATGTAATTTTAAAAGTAATTTTCAATATTTTTAAATCTACATTTTCTATTAAATCAGCCTCCATACCTGGGCACAACAGTATTTTCTTTAAATATATTCTTCAATAAACAGGATATACACCAAACACCCATAGAAAGTTAGGTATTACCTTGTAAAAGTAGGAGTGACATCCTCACTGGCTATACATAGTCTATATAGAGAGTAGAAAACAAAAAGAACAAAGGAAGTGCAACTCTAGCACAATTACGTTTAAGGACTAAAGATGTACCAAACAAAAGGCACTCACATGCTCCAAAAAACATATGGCAAGATGTCACACTAAACATTCCATCTCCAAGGCTGATGTCTGGGCACCTTCCTGGAAACACTTTCTCCAGCCTGTAGTTCTTATGGACTCCCAGGTGGTGTAAATGGAGAGAAAAAAGGGTGACCAAGCCACCACACAGGAAGCACTGTGACAGACACTAAAGCTTGGGGAGGAGACCAGCCCAACCACCAAGCAACAGCTCTATGACAGATGCTGAAGGCCTGGAGAGGAGATCAGCCTCAGATGCTTTAGCCCAAGGCAACCTTCAGGGTGAATGTAGTTCTTGCAAAGCTGGTGTCGGCTTCTCTCTCTCCGGCTTAGGTACCTGTCGGTCTGGCGATCCCTTCATGTGTGCATTGCAGAGCTGGTGCCGATGCCAGTTTCTTCTCTGGGCTCTGGTATCTGTTACAGAGCCTCAGTTGTTGGAAGCTTGGCTAATCTCCTCTCCAGGCTTTCAGCATCTGTCATAGAGCCATTGGTTGGCAGTGTATAGGTACGTATAAGTATCTTTTTCTTTCACAGGCTAGATAGAATAGTGTTAGAATGGGGATAGGAGTAGGTTTAGCCTTGGATTTTGACTGAACTTCCACTTTAAAACATGGCTGAAACATGCATGTATCCATCCACCAAGGCAAACAGGAGCACTTATCCCTTTAGAAAGATGGCCTCCACATGGCCCCCTATGGGGCTGCACTCTCAGACACTATTGCAAAGTGGGATAGGTATTGTGCTACCATATATACCATGACTTGAATAGATGAGAACCTTCACAGCCATATTCTAACATATTCTGGCTTGATCATCCTATCATTTAAAACGAAACGTCCCACCCAAAAAGATGTAACAACATAAATGCTACACAAACCATTTGATAATGGTATTAAAATTATCTTTCCATTTAAATCTTCCACCAGCTATGAGATTCTAACACTGTAAAAAAACTCAAATTTTATCAGAATGACCAATCTGCGTTTTG